GGTCTGGTATGAAAGATGACAACATGAACCTACCATGTCTCTTTTTATTGATTTTTGTCAAAGAGCATTAAGGGTGTATCTATTTACGAGTGAAAAGGTATTGCCTCCATTAACATGCAATGAAAGGATAAGTATTTTGAGGGCAGTGGCTAGAAAACATATACAGATAAGCAATTTTGTTGGGTTGCTTTTGCTTTTAGTAATCTGCTAAGCTGCTTGTTATGAAGAATTGATCAGTATGGAGTTTCTGCAGTCGGAGATGACAAAATGACCTAGTTATTCTGTGTGTTTTCTTCCACACAGACCCTTTTAGAGACAACTACGAATCTTCTAAACCATGATCTCCACTGGTCCCTGTGTAACCTAAGAGCTTCTGTCACTAGAGGGCTTACCCCAAAGCAGGATTACTGCTGCATTTGTCTACAGCAGTACAAAAGAAGGCAAGAAACTGCTGATGAAATCATTGTGTTCAGGTAAAGTTAAGGGGTAGGGTCACAGCTTAGTTTTAAAAGGAAAAACAGAGGAAAAAAAAAAAAGCTATTAGTCTTTGACTAATAAGTAATCATATGTATTCCTGTGAGCATGTATCCCTGCTCCCTTGCACTGTAAAAGGGCTGGCTAATCAAACCCATCAGAGCCAGCCTTTTTTCCATGCAGCCAGCTCTGTCTTGGCTGGAAAGAATTGCCTTACAGTTCTGTGAAAGCTGTTCAATAAACTGTCAGTTTACCTATCATCTCTCCCAGCAATGCATTCTGTGCAGTTGCAGCACCCTGGGTTCATTTGCCTGTATCTATACATCTGAGATATACTGCAGCCCTGACTACATACTCTGTTGGCGTCTCCGATATTCCCATCTGCAACCAGGTGGCTGTAAAATAAGGTCATTATTGCCTTAGTATTATGACCTGTAGCTGTATCAGCAAATGGGCATCTACTGTTATTTTTGCAAGTCTAGAAGTACTATAGGAGGGTGTGGAGGTCCGAAGGGAGTGAATACACTGCTGATCTGTATTTACAGATAAGCAGCCTTGTTTTCCATTGACCAGCCATTTCCCCTCCAAAGCGTAGGGATGTCAGGCTGTGTTACTCCACTTCCAAGCACGCAGCAGAATTCTTCTCTTTACAGCTGTGGCCACTTGTACCATTCACTGTGCCTGCTGAGTAAAGAGTGTGGGACAGTAACTAAAGGCCTGATGAGGTGGATGTGCTATAAATGCAACTCAAGTAACAAGGGAGGAAAACTGAGCGAGAACTTCTCAGAGCTAAAAAAAGGAAGTGGAGCATCCTTGGCACAGGTAAGGTTTGTGAGGCGGTTTCTCCTCATGTAAACTTTGAGCAGCACTTCTAGACTACATCGCTTTGTTTTCAGGTCTGTCTTTGCTTCCAGACAAGCCCATCAGTAACTGTCAAACAGTATCAGCAGTTTAACTAGTCATGTTTGTGAATGTCATTTTGTTTTGGTGTGGGTATACAGAGCTGTGGAAGTAATGGAAATGTGTCTGTCCGGAAGGCCCGGGAAGAGCTAGCCAGTGTGAGGGGCAGCTGGATGCTTGCAGCTGATTGCCTGCTAGATGCATCCACTGCTTTGTCTTGTTTGTGAGAGCCTGGGATGGGCCACTGGCGACAGTTCCTTTCAAACTATTTTTAGGTGTGTTTTATACAAAACTTGTATTAAAAGCTGGCATGTTGCTTGTGGCTGGAATGTGGATCCTCAGTTCTACTTTCCTAACAGGTAACATGGCTCTGGGTAAAAGATCTGGAATTGCTTTGACTCACTAAATGCTTGCACAACGTTTTAAGAAGCTTGCATGTAAATAAGACCAATGCAGCTGGATTTGGGCGAGAGAACAGATAATTAGTTTGTATTTATTGTCAGTATTTGTGTGCAAGAAGTTTCATCATCGCTGATTCAAACAGAAGTCTGGTCTTGATATGTGTGCTTCTGTCTTTTTCCTAGCATGGTACTGTGGATTGTGTCAGGTACCTTGTTGGGAACTCTTTTAGGGAAAATGGACTGTGGGGAGCTGAACTCTACTGCCTTGTGTTCCAGCAAAGCTGGTTGCTGATGAGCGTTTGTTCCTAAATGCCTCAAGGTCCTTCGTGCATTTGTCACTGCACAGACGCATGCGAAGCAATGTTTTTCCACTTCTGAAACCAAAGTAATTCAGTCTTGGAGTACGTTTTCCTAGTTTTCTTCTAGCAGATTATTCAAATTTCTGCCAAATCAATTCTGATCAAAAGATAGCTAACAGCATTAGTCAACTTCCATCAGCTTCTGTATTAACAAAAAAAGAAGCTTCCTGCTTGAAGGGAGACTTGGGGGAACAGTAATCTCTGAGCAATGTATGGAGAACAATGCAATCTTTGCAGTCAAATTGTGTTAGTTTCTTACATGGTGGCAGAAAGAAAAGCTTTCCCAGGAGATTGTAAATTGACTGTGGTCCAAACAGTCTGCTTACAAATGCTGGTCATTTTGTGTACTGTCCTCCTACAGTGAAATACATATGCTGGCTCTAACGTTAGGCAGATTCAGCAGCCCCATATTTTACCCTCTGCAGTTCTGCTCCAAAGGAATATGTGCAAATGGGCATGACAGACTAGGTTTAACTTTGAAAGCTAAAGACAAATTAAGTACTAAAACTACATTCATCGTTACAGTGCCTGACACTATATACCAGTGCCTTATAACTTGGTTGTCACTGGATTTCTCATGGGCTAGTCAGTGAGAGGACCCCTGTGTCTCCCCTTTAATACCAGTCTGGACATACCCCATAGCAGAATGAAGTGGAAAATGGGGTGACATGGAAATGATCAGGGTGGGGAGGAGAAGATGCTTCCCTTTAATTAACTGATCTGTCTGTAGAAGTGAGAGGCTGGCTAGGACCCAGGGCTTACAGGGAGACATGGAGAGACTGGATGGGGAAGAGAAGGGGTTACAGCATGGATCATCTAGCGCTAGCTAGAAAATGTCCATACCAGACCATCTGAGAGTGCTGGATGCTTCCCTGCTGTCTGTCATGTGCTCTTGGCAGAGAAGCCCATCGCTTCCTGCTCTGCACACAGCCGGCCCAGCAGAGCTTGGCTCTGGCTCATCAGAGCCCGAGCACTGCTGCAAGCCTCCCCACCACCTCTTCCTCCTGACATCCCAGATCCTCTCCAAGTTTGTGATGTTCCTCATGTATTTAAATTATAATATTTAACTGTTATACTCGCATGTAATTAAGCTGTTGCGCAGTCAGATCTTTAAAAGGATGAATATATTTAGACTTGGCAAAAGACTGTAAAATCTCTAGCTTCTCCAGGAAGTTTGTTTGCTTAACAATTGCCGCTGAGCAGTGTTAATTAACCCTGTGAGGTAACGGTTCATCTGGCCAGCTACTAGTCTGAGTTACAGAACTGGCTTTTTCTTCTGGGGGAAGTGCTGGGAGTGTGAAGTGAAGGAGATGGATGTGTGTAATCCCTGGCTCCACTGGAGCCCAAAGCAGGAGGGTGAGGAAGGTTACCTGGAGCACAGAAGCGCTTGCTGGAGGCAGGCTGGTGCGTACTGGTGTGGCGGGGTTTGGCCTCATGCAGCCTCAAGTAAATTTAAGCAGAGAATTAAGCATGAGAACAGCCAAGCTCCCCATGCTTATCTTGACGTGACACGGGGCTGTGCAGGATTGAGTCTGTTTGAAAGGTACATTTTCTACAGTGGCCTGGGAGGTGATGCAGGATGCTGGAGAGAGGGAGTATGGGCAAGCAAAGGGGAGACTTGCAGGGCTTCCCCCACCCTGAGCCACGTAAGAGAGCAGTGGTTACTGGCATCTGGTGCCACCCCAGGCACAGAAGGGATTTGTTTCTGTTTGTCACAAGGTTTGTTCAGCCTTTTGGCGCTGCAGTTCTCTGGTGAAGGGCTTCTCTACATTCACTTTCCACTCCACTGACACCAGGCAGACCCAGAGGTCTGTGTTGGTCAAGCTGCTCCTGCTTCCACAGCTGGTGTTTGTGCAAACAATGAAGAGGAAATCCCAGGGGGAGGTTATGCTAACACAGTTATGCTCCCAGCCCTGCCTTCTCTGGGCCCTGGAGAGACAGTGCTGAAGCTTCAGGGGCATTTTGCATCTAGATCTGTGGGGAGGGTATTTCTTTGCAACCACTTGGAAGACACTGAAAGCTTAGTCTGTCTCTTGGCAAAATCTAATGTGTTTGTTGTTTTTTTCCATAGTGAAATCTTTAGGTATTTATTTTCTTAGCAAGCCTTGAATTAGGAGCAGTTTCATACTGAGAAATGCCACTGAGCATCTGGAGTGCATTTCATAGTACCAATTCTGCTCTGCTGAAACAAAGACTGTCAGTTTGAATTTTGCAATGTTGTTGAGACTTAGATGTGAAACGACAGCCCAAAAGACAGTGTTTTCTCTGTCCCTGCTTTGCATGCATGACTTCTGTAGCAATTGCCTTGAAATTGGGGGAGGTGGAGAGATGCCACAAGCTAGCACTGAACCGTTATTGAATCTGGTGATAGCACTTGTTTAAATGGAGCCTCGCTGTGATGAGGGCTTGAGACATTCTGCCCCAGCAAAGGAGAATAGCAAGAGAAGGGCAAAGAAGCTTTTCCTCTGTTTCTGCTACCAGAAGTTTGTGCTTTCTGTGTTATCCTGTAAACCTTGCTGTCTGCCCAGGGGTAATCTTCTGGGTCTGAACAGGTCATCTTTCCTGTCCTCCTTACCTTATATCATACCATAAATGAGTGTTAAAAGAAATGAAAGCTTCCGTGTTTGTGGTGGGGTTTTTAATCTGATTTAAAACTTGCAGTGCTTTTTTGTGCTGTGGTGTTTGAAGCTAACTGAAGCATATTAGGTGAAAGCACAGTAGCTGGGCTTCTGCCTAAATACGTAAGTGAAACACTCCTGATAGTATTCAATCAAAAATCCTGATTTGCCTCATTTTGGTGAGCTAGTTTGTGTGTTCCATTTATTCTGCCAGCCTACATGCTAGGGATCAGAGAGGGGAAGGCAGTCTTGGCTCTTGGGCCACAAGCTCTGCAGAAAATGCCATGAACCCCTAAGCTGACATGCTCTGGTTATTTCATGTTTGAGAATGTGCCTGAGTTCTAAGGGCACTGTTGTTAAAGTTGTCCAGATGGCAAATATGTTTTATTCAGGAGTTTAATCCTGTCAAGTCACGCCAGGACGGACAACGAATGTGATCCATAGTTAATCCAGTTTGTTAGACTCTACCTTTGAGCTCTGTTCCGCAGCCTGGCACCAGCGTCCGCCTTTACGACACAGCCTTCCACCCGGAGCTTCTTGACCCCACTTCCACCTATGCAGTGTTGGTACTGTAGTGTATCACTTAACTGGGATGTTAAACGTCCCTCTGCAGTGTGTCTATGTGCTTCCTGTTGGATAAGAATGAAGGTTTAGGACTTTTTCTTTCACCAGTACTTGTTTTAGAGCCAGGTAAATGTTACATGACCTCTCCATCAATCAGTAGACAAAGCCAGTTTCACTGTTTTCAGTGTAATGGTGACCATCAGTTATTAGCCTGACTTCCAACAATATAAAAAATTTCCAAGGGCTTTATAACTTTGAAAATATCCAGGCGTGATCCCCCCACCATTAATACCAAGCAGGTAATTAGCATTCTGTACAGCTACAAGATTGTGCGTTCTCCTCCATAGAGAATACTCCCACACGCGTATTAACTGAGGAAGTGCTCAGTCCTTTGCCTTTGGAATTGTCTCTGATGGTAGATTCCTTAACTTCTTCAACAATGTGTAGGAAATCCATGTGAGGAAGGAACTAGAGACACTTTGTACCATTGGCTTCTCATCAGCAGAACATCTCTGTTTTAAGATTTTTTTGTGGTGTATTGGAAATAGAAGTGATTTAGTAAGAAGAAAGCTGAGTGCGAGTGTCTTAACTAGCAGGTAGAGGAGGACTGACACCAAATTTAAAACTGAAAATAAAATACAAATTTAAAAAGACTAATTTCAAAACTGTACTTATTCTTTAACAACTTTTAAATCAAAATTGACTGTTTTCTTAGATTTTTCATACTGTGAGGGGGTGGGTTAGTTTGTTTTGTTGGGGTTTTTTTTGAGATCGGACTGAATTGTAACTGTTTCCCCTGGTCTTCATACATAGCAATCTGTAGCCTGGCAGAAGTTTCCTTTTACTGCTTACGATCCAAAGTCTTGCACTCCAGGCCCTGTGAGAGGGTAACACGAAGCAGAGACAGCTGCCTTCCAAACTGCCTAAAGCGAAGACCACCAGTGAGACTGGCTGCCTTGCGCTCCTAGAATTACCTGGGG